AAAAAAAAAATTTGCACGGAGGCACCTCCATCCAGGATGGAGGCATGAAAGCTGGGCTTGGATGGAGGCACTTCTCCTTGCCTCCATCCAAGACACCAAGGCAAAAAAAAAAGTGTATGGAGGCACACGGGGGTGTCTCCGTGTGCGCATGGAGGCACATGTGTGCGCACCTCCATCTAGGCAAAATTAAAAAAAATGTACACAGAGGCACCTCCAATGGAAAAGTGTAGTGGATGGAGGCACTTCTCCTTGCTTCCATCCAAAGATGGAGGCAAGGAGAAATGCCTCGGCAAGGAGAAGTGCCTCCATCCAAGCTTGGAGGCATTTCTTCATGCCTCCATCCATGGAGAAATGCCTCCATTTCTCCCAAGATGGAGGCATTTCTCCTTGCCTCCATCCTTGGATGGAGGCATTTCTTCATGCCTCCATCCAAGCATGAAGAAATGCCTCCATCCTGAGAGAAATAGAGGCATTTATCCCAGGATGGAGGCATTTACACAGCAAAAAAGGGAAAAAAATAACTTATAATGCCATCACCTCTAAGTTTAGCCAATTAGATATAATTAAGATAAGACCTCGTGCGACACTTAACTTGCAGTAATCAGTGAATATCACAGAAGTCTTACAATTACTTCCTTCTCCCTTTGTGCTAGTTCTCCCAGATTAACCTTGCAATAGTTCGTTCTTTACCCACAACTGCGCCATCTAGAACAAAAATCTAGCCTCTGCACCATTGAGTAGGTGTTGAAGATGCCTCTGTCATGGAATCAAGATTAACATTTATACAATAAATACAACATACATATATCTGTTTTTACATGTATCAAGTTGTAAAAGCAATAATAAATGAAGGAGAAATATATCTTGATAGAAGTGAGAGCTAACAAAAATACTAATTGGGCACTTTGGACATCTCCACAGTTTTCTCAGTTTCTTTCCCTGTACTCATTGTTACAAATCCAAACCCTGTTGTAATTTATGTAGTAGTGTAATCAGCAAACATAGCTTAAAGGAACAGTGCATCAGTGGTAGATAATAATTTTTAGATTTGAATTTGATCTGGAATGAATGAAGTTCAATCAGCCATCAACTTCACCTTGACATTTGAGAATTAAGATCTAGTCACAGTTTCAATGAGGAAAAGAACAAAGTTTCTCAATTGATTCTTCACTGAATTTTAATTTTAGTTCGATAACTTGCAATTTAGCTCCACAAACAAATTTCTGCCCTCTATTGAATATAAATCAACAAGGTTCTTCTAAAATAAATAAAGTTTTGAATCAATCCCGAATGAAAGCTGCAGTACAGTACAAATATATTGCCTCATTCAAATTCCATGATAATGATTAATAGGAAATTTCATAATTTCTTGATTCGATTATGCAAACAATCATAATTCATACCCAGAATAAATTGAAGCACATATGAATGACTGAATCTCACATAAACCCACGCATAAACCCACGCAGAGAATGAAATAAAAGCATAGAATTGAAACGGAACGAAGAGGCCACGATTTGGAATACTAGAATTCTTTTTAGTGCTGCTGCATGCTGGACATTTTTATTTGGGGCTGGGCTACTGTATGGATTTTGACGCCCTAGGCCTTTGCCTAGGTGGTTTGGTCCCAGGGCCGGCCTTAAATACAATTAGGGTTGAAAGAAGAGAGAACGAGAGCAATTAGGGTGCTGGCAGTGAAGTCATTTTTGGTTCCCCAGAGGAGATTTTGAGTTTTACAAATGCTCGTGACGCTGTACCGGTTCTCTTTATTACTGTAAAGGAAGAAAATAAAAAGAAAGTATGTCTGAGAAAGATCAATGTCGACAGAAAGAAACGAAAGAAGAGGGACATCGGCAAAGAATAGTAAAATATGGCAAATGAATCTTATGGCTTTTAATAAAGTAATCATAAAAAGTTATTTCAGTGGTTTGAAATACACCAACATCATCTTTGTTTTTCTGCTACAATGAAAACCTAAAAAGTTGATAAAAGGGTACAACTTTACTCCCCTGCCAATCAATGAAAACTGTAGTAGCAAAAAAAATAAAAATTAATAAAATCAAATGAAATAGAGAGACTATACAATTGCTCTTTG